GAGCGCCCCGCAGCCGGCCCGCCGAAGGGTCTCTTTCGGCAGGGACAAGCCCGCGCGAAGGCCCCGTGTGCCGGCCTCCGCTCACAACCCACGGGCACGCCGCTCGCTCCAGCCCGCCTGGCGTTTCGTAGTTTTTACCCTGTAGTTCCACCCCACTGCAGCAGGTGAAGGCCCCGTCCAGATTCCTACGGCAGGGAGAAGTGGCCTAGCCATTACCCAGTGGAATTGCAATTTCCTAAATGTTGCTTGACCTTTAACGGTGCGAGTGAAAGCGGGTGGTATTCTCTTCCATCCCTCCCTCTCTTCCCCATTTTTCTGTCTTTTCTCTTTTGTTTTGCTCTGTGAGAAATACCGAGCTATTTCTCGTTGTGAGGGCGGTTTATACACATTAGTAAATCTTCAGAGCGAAACTTCCCCCCGGTCTTTGTCTTTGTTTCCTTAATGGTAGCTATAAATTACCACTTTCTCACTGGAGCATCAGGCTTCATTGCTTCTGAAATGATCAAAGTTATTCTCTTCTGAAATCCAACGGGAAACAACCTATTGTATCTCCTGGATGGTTTCAGTCTAAGTCAAACTCATCTATAAATGCATAAAGCTGCTCATTAAATACTCCAAGGATTCTCCAGCCCGGCGCTGCACCCCAAGCCCCCCCTGCCAACAGAAAGCAACACATGAGTGTAGACTTTCCCAACAGTTTCCATGATCTCATGAATAAACAACCACACTTAGGATGGGAATTCGCACACCCACGCGTCTTGTGTCTGGGGGTATCTGTCAAGGGGTCTCCCCAAAAAATTCTCCCAAACGCACAGAGCAGCCACCTCCCGTTGAGGCACCTGACTGCAAGCTACCTTACAGCAAAGCTGTTACACATCTCAGGCACTTTCCAGTCAAGGTTCCACAATGAACTTGACCAATACTAATTGAATTAAAATTCAGCACAAGATTTGACGAAAGGCATAAAATCTACGTGCAAGGAGTGTAGCAGAAATAAGAGTAAGAGGCACTGAGGAGTAGAGCCACATACCCAAACAGCTAAAGCTTTCTGAGACACAGTAAAAGCAAAGCATCTTACTGACTGCTGTAAACTAAGATATAAAGTGGCACATAAATGTTTGGGAATGCCTGAGTTAGATCAAAAGATCTCAATGCAGCTTGGAAAACAAACAGGAACAACGTTAAATTTATCTTAGTTGATGAAACCATTTCTTACACATAAATCTCAGAGTGCTTTATGAAGGATCCTAGCTGTTCTTTCACACATAACACTCATGTTTACGATGAAGAAATGCCACTGAAATATCTCTTTAAAGACACAAAACAGAGAAAAGCTCAGACCTGAACTCAGGCATCTTTCTGCAGCCATCGTAACTATTTCTCCTCATCTATAGAGTCACAGTGACAGGCGACCACACTGGGTACTCAGACCTTTACTGGGAGAGAGAAGCTAGAAAAATTCTTCTGGCTTGACTTCAGCAAGAAGTTAAGTATGACGAAAGGAAAACAAACACACCAGGGGCAGTTCAGCGGGAAGAGATCCCAAATGTCACTCTTAGGGGGTTTTCACCAGTTAAAAATAAAATAAAACCAAAAAGTTTTAGGGAGGAAAATAGCTACTGGTAAATATCTGCAAGAGGTGTATGCAGACAGGATATTTTCACACATTACGCATCCTGATCCTCAAACCAATAGCAAGGGTTTTGCTCATCTAGACACTATACAGCATTTCAGTCTTGAACTAAGTTTTCTCATTGTCGTGCGGACCAGAGTCCCTTTCAGTTACATTTCACAGACGCTTTGGGGAGAGGCAGGCTTGGCTGTTTTACACCTGCAGAAAGGTTGCACATCAGAAAACGTGTCTGCTTTTTCCAGTCGTACCGATGTGCGTGCTACCTTACGATACTGCAAAACCTGGAATTTCTTCCCGTTAAAACTGTCACATCTTTTTGGACTGCCAAGAGCACAACACTGCTATAAACACCGCCTGCTGCTCCAAAGAACTGCTGCCATACAGACAAGATCCCCAGCTCTCCCCTGCCCTCCACTTACAGCTGCCTCACATCGAGAGATCGAGACTAGACAGCCACAGAGCAGTCGAATATAAACACCGCTCCAGAAATTCTGCACCTGATCTACTGAGTAGAGTTCACAGAATCACAGAATCACAGAATGTTCGGGGTTGGAAGGGACCTCTGTGGGTCATCTAGTCCAAC